CCCCTTTCTCTTCTCTTTCCCCTCAGAACCCAGCAGGCCTGGGTTCCTTCGAACCCACCCAGGCGTTGGGTTCTTTGCGAACCCAGGCGCTAGATTCGCAAGGAACCCAGCATGCCTGGGTTTGGTGGAACCCAGCACGCTTGGGTTTGGTTCCTTGCGAACCCAGGCGCTAGGTTCACAAGGAACCCAAGCGTGCTGGGTTCGCGTCTGGTGTTGGGTTTGCTAGGTTCGCGTTTGGTGCTGGGTTCGCGTCTGGTGCTAGGTTCACTGGGTTCACGTCTGGTGCTGGGTTCGCTGGGTTCACGTCTGGTGCTAGGTTCGCTGGGTTCATGTCTGGTGCTGGGTTCGCGTTTGGTGCTGGGCTAGCGTCTGGGTTCGGTTCCTTGCGAACCCAGGCGCTGGGTTTGCAAGGAACCCAAGCGTGCTGGGTTCGCTTTTGGGTTCCTACAAACCTAGCACGCTTGGGTTCCTTGTGAACCCAGGTGCAAAAAATTAAAAAAAAAAAATTTTCTGTTTTTGTTTTTTGGATTTTGTTGTTTGATTGTGATGAAAAAATTGATTGATGAAGATGAAGAAGGCATTACTGCAGGTGTTAGGTGTTGGGTTCGATGCTGGGTTCGGTTTGTCAATTTTGAATGCTAGGTTTTTGCAGGTGTTGGGTTCATTTGCAGGTGCTGGATTCGAAATCGAACTCAGCAGGCGTTGGGTTTGAGCAACTGCTGAGTTCCTGCAAGTGAGGCTCTGGGTTTCGTTTCGAACCCAGCAGCCGTTGGGTCAAATATCTATTGAGTTTAATATGTTGATTTGTTGTGTTATCCTTGAATTTAATATTAGGAATTAGGGTTTGCAGAAGGTTAAAGGAAAGGGAGAGGAAGAAGAAAGGGAAAAAGGAAAAACAAAGGAAGAAAAAAAAAAAGAATAAGAAATTTTTTAAGATTTTTTTCTTACCATCTCATTTTTTTTCACACTGTACATCTTAGGTGTCAAAATGTTTTAACAGATCATCGTTTTTTCCGTCAAATAACGGGACACGTAGGTTGATATTTGACGGAAGGACCAAATCGGGGTAAAAATGGTAAACAGTAAAGACTAAATCAGGGATTTTTTTAGTTCAGGAACCAAATTAGAGGTCCGTATAATATTTTAGGGACCAAAAAAGGGTTTTAACCTAAGTAAAATGTCATATTATTAAGGTTGAATTTTTATTTTGATCGCCGTACTTTGATAAAAAGTGTTTTTTAGTTTTTTATTTAAAAAATCTCTGTATAGTTTTTATAGTTTAAAATTTGATATCTTTTTAGTTTATTCGTTAAATTTTGTGTACTTGGTATGTTAGAAATTTTAAAGTAAAAGAGTAAAAAGAATTAAAAATGGGTTAAAATAGTCTCATTTTGATTCATTTCCTTTGAAATTTATTTTATCCAACATCAAAATTCAACGTAAAAACTAAATAAGAGTTGGATTTTAAATTTTAAAAACGAAAAAAGTTTTTTTATCAAAATAAAAAAATCCAATTAGAGTTTTAACTTATTATTAAATAAATATATATATAATATTATAAATAAATTTTAAATTAAAAATTAATTATATATTAATATTTTATATTATAAATTTATAATATTTTTAAATAAAAAATTAACATATTATTTATATATTATAACGTAAAAATTAAATGGAGAGATATTTAAAATATTATAATTAATCAAAAAATTATTTTAAATATTTTAAATAAATTTTCTTGTTTTTGATTAATTAAGACATTTAAATGTTTTTAATGTAAATTTTGATATTTTAATTATTAAAATATTATTTATTAAATTAAAAAATTGAAAAAATTAGATTAAAATAACTAAAATTGAATTGAGGTTAGAATTGGTGGTAATAATGTGGTTACTTTAAGTGGCGGCAGTCGCAGCATGAGAGAATCCCGAGAGATATGATGAATGGGGAAGTGATAGTGTCTCAGAACAGGTAACAGATGGATTACAAATCGAGTGAAAACTGCACTCTGCTTCTGTTCCCATTAATGGCACATTGGCAATGGCACTTCGTAGTTCGTACCCCTTATCTTATCCCTTTATTCTTGCCTGTCTCTCGACTCAAGACAAGAGACAAACTACAATTGTCGTCCCTGTAGTTTAAAATTTTATTCGTTCTCATCCCTCTACTAATGATTTGTTCATTTTCATCCCTCTACTCCTCTTTTTTATCTCATTGTCGTCTTTTTCCTGATGCCATTCATGTTGCTGTCATTACTTATCGTTAATTCATAAATGGTCAGCAATTAATACATTTGTTTAATAATTTTCTTCCACCTTTGCTAACTAGTGGGAACACCTTTCCACATGTGCTGCCATCCAATCAAATAAAAATGACTCTCCTTTTCATATATCTCTCAACTATTCCCTCAAATACTTTGTAGAAACTTTACGACTAAATTTTTTCAAATTTTAACTAATAAGATAGTAGAGAGTAACATAATAAATTTTTTATTAATAAAAAAAATTAGCATATAACTAACACCACAAAATAGCAATGCAAAGTTTAAATCAAGAAACAAAGAGAAAGAAAAAACAATTTAACATAACATAACAAAAATGTGTCAAGTCCAAATGAACAATCAAATTAAAATTTCAAAATACAAAAATGTAATTTGAAATTTATGGGTAAGAAAAAAGTATCATGTAAAGAAAAAGTAATGGCTTACTTCACTCTTTCAAATTTAAGATAAATTTTTTTAGCCTTATCTTGCCTTATAAAAAATGAAAAAAAAAACTTATAATCTAACTAATTAAATATTTACTCACTAACAATGTGTAATTAGTAAAACAACATCAAAATTAAGATTTAAAATGCTAATATCAATTCTTCCTTATTAGAAATAGCAACAATATATTTAGTCACTTTTTTTTCTTATCTCTCTCTTATTCGGTCTCTCTTTCCTATTTCTTTCATCATTTACTTTTTCTTCCTTTACCTCTCTTATTTTGTTCTCTCACAAATCACAAATTTTACTAAGTGTTTAATTCTTTTCTTACCCTTATTTTTGTATCCCAAGGCACTTCAATATCAAAAAATTATGGAGATTTTTTTTTTAATTTTTTAACAATATATCAAAATTGAATATCTCATATACCCTCACACTCTCTTAATTGATGGCTTTTTTAAACCACTTTAATCTTTCGTTTAGCATCAGTTAAACACAAAATAAGTTTAGGGGCTTAATAGCAATTCTAAGGTTAGTTCAAGCGCTTAACTTATGGTTTTGCCGTTGCTTAGTGTTTGGGAAGTTAAGGGATGACAATGAACAAATGGTTAGTAGAGAGATGAGAACAAATAAAATTTCAAAGTATAGGGACGATAATTGACTTTAACCCCAGTTATATATAATAATATATATTAATCTTAATTTTAAAAAAATTAAAATTGAAATTTTCAATTATATTATTTTTTAATTAAAATTTGATTTAAAATTTTAATTTAAAAATCGATT